AACTCTGCACCACCACTTTCCAAAGAGGAAATCTACTCGTTAATCCGATCAGTACGCTTTGCACAGCAGTCTGTCAAAATGATTTTTTGAGCAACACTGAAACTTTCAAAGAGACCTTTGCACTAAAAATATTCTAAAATGTGAAGAATACAACCCCCGGGGGTACAAAATGACCCCAGGGCGCACGGATAGGGTTAATATCAACAACTGGGTCGATAACAACCACAGCAGGCACTCAGTTTAGTCTTAGTAGAGGTTTTACGGCGCTCGCAACCGCATAAGGTCATATGAGCGCCAGAAGATTAGAGGTGCTACAAGAGAGTAACAAACATGAAAAAGAAGGAGGGGAGATAGAGAGGATAGATGTTAGATAGGAAAGAAGGAGCAAAGCACACCAGAGCGACCGCCAACCACCCAGTACATGCACTCACCTGGCCTTGGCGATAAACTTGTAGGTCTTGTCCCAGTGCTTGAGGAGGTCCGACTCCTCCACGTCGTAGAGACGTACGTTGTAGTACTGGAACATGCCCATGAAGAAATTGTCAATTTCCCGCGTCACGTTCAGGATGTAGCCGATCCTGGAGGAAGCAAAGAGAGACATTGTGAACGGTTTATGTTTTTTTTTTAGTTTAAGAGTTTTTTGTTTTAGTACAGGTTTTACGGCGCTCGCAACTGCATAAGGTCATATGAGCGCCGAGGGATGGACATCAACAGAGAAGTCCTTACAGGGAATCAGACTTACTCTGCTCACCTCTCTAGCTTCAACAGCACAAAGTCTGCTTCGACTATTAAGGCACCCTGGAAATAGCGGGTCACTAGAGTGTGACAAACATACAAAAGTAGAGGCAAATGATGATAGTAAGGATGAGGAAAGAAAATGCAGCAGTTCCCTGTTGTAGTCCAGGCAGTTATGAACGTGACAGGATGAATCAGCCCATTTACAATTCTACTGTGCTTGAACGAGAAAAAAGTCCCCCCTCTGAGAATAGCCTAAAGACACTACAGTCAGTGGCACTGCCCCAGGGGGGGTACAGTAAGAGTTTAACGGCACTTACAACACAATAAGGTTACATAAGTGCCGAAGATTAGAGGTGTTACAAGAGAGTAACAAACACAAAAAAAGGAGGAGAGATAGGGACGATAGATGTTTGAGAGGAAAAAAGAAGGAGCACAGACGCTGGCTCGTATGCTCAGAGAGACAACCATCCGCACCCTTTTCCTTTCAGCTCCTCCAGGTTGCAGGCGTTCCACTCCGAGCCCAGGTACAGGAAGTCCAGAATCTTGGAGGGCTCGTCCATCTGTCCCAGAATCCTCATCACTTCTTCGTCAAAGTAGCTTTTCAACGAGGTCAGAGAGATCCCCATCTTTGCCTCCACTGCCTTCCTCAGCTGTGAAGTAGTCCATGGAACGACATCAGTGGCGATATATTTGTGTCACGACACGCTGGTTTTTTTGTTTTAATTTAGTTTTGGTTAAAGTTTTACGACACTTGCAACACAATAAGGCTATTTAAATGCCGAAGATTAGAGGTGTTCGTTTAGTTTTAGTAAGAGTTTTACGACACTTGCAACACAATAAGGTCATTTAAATGCCGAAGACTAGAGGTGTTAGAAGGAGAGTAACAAACACAAAAAAAGAAGGGGAGATAGGGACGATAGAAATTTGATAGGAAAGAAGGAGCAAACCACACCAGATCATCCGCCAATCACCTACAAAAAAAAAAAAAAAAGGAGGAGAGATAAGACAATAGACGGTAGAGCTGGGCGAGGAATCAATTCCGGAACCGATTCCTACGATTAATGCTGCGGAAGAGAAGCTCCGACTCTTTTTTACATATAACCAACGGTTACCAGTTACTGTAATCATTAAAATTTTCTTCTTTTTTAAAAAAGAATTTATTTATGAAAAATAAAAGTTGATGCTTCGTAGTGTTCCGAAAACAAGGTTATCATAAATCCTGAAGATGTTCGGAGCCAATCAGGTAACCACCGGGAGAAATCACATCGTTAGAGAGTAAGTAATTGGGTTCCGAGTCGATTCCAACGATTCCCAATTTTCACTAATCGGGAACCTAGCCGCCCAGCCCTAATAGACGGTTGATAGGAAAGAAGGCGCAAAACAAAACAGAGCACCTGCCAGCCACCTACAGAAACATGTCAATGTGGGATAAATCCAGGAAAACGATGTAGATACAAGAGAAAATATCCTCCTACCACGTAAGCTGAACTCATATCCCTTGCACGTAAGAGGAAAACCATACCCTAAACAATGCCTCTTAACCTTATCTGTACGCCCTGGGGTCATTTTGTACCCCTGGGGTTGTATTCTTCACATTTTAGAATACTTCTAGTGCGAAGATCTCTTTGAAACTTTCAGTATTTCTCAAAAAATCATTTTGACAGAGTACTATGCAAAGCATACGGATCGAATTAAAGAGTAAATTTCCTTTTTGGAAAGTGGTGGCAGAGAGTTCCCCACGTCGTATGGATACGATAGTAAAACACGACGTACAGATAGGGTTAAATGGTCGCTTTTAAGGACAAGCAGGCTAATCCAGATTTCGGGGATTTCAAGAAATCTTGACCAACACCAAAAGTGGGCATTGCCCTACCCATAGGAGAATTTGGGTTTCAATGCTGTGTATATTTGTCGGGTTATAGAGAAAACACACATTGTCTTTTAAAGAAACTTAACAAGGAGCAAAAAACTTTACCTTCGATTTCCTCAAAACAGCAATTTTCAGGATAGTCCCCTTGTGTTTAAAAGTGACCCAAATAGTGAGTGGTGATGGGTGCAGAAACAATTTACAATAATCTACAAAATAAAAAGTTTCCCTGAAATTAAGCTACACACATAAACAACTCTGAACAAACATTTTAAAAAACAAACATAACTTATCAGCAAAACCAAATAATCACTGAAAAATAAGTAAAATATTAAAAAACAAGAAGTTGAACTTTAATACTATAGTTCTCTGTCAGTCTTTTCTTGGCCTGGAAATATGATACTTAGAAACTCATGGTTTTGTAGTCAACTTATATAAGATGTAAAAATGATAGTTAACATGGCACCCAATGAAGGAACATGAAACAAAAAGACAAAAACAACCCCCCCCCCCCCCCCGAAAGAAAAAAAACAGCACGAAAATCAGCAGAAAAAAAACTACACCAAAAAAATGAGAACACTGAATTTGCAACTGACCCCAATTGACGTGGCCTCGTCCAAATCGACAGTCATCATGACCTCCTTCAACTTCTGGCTGATGACACGTTTGATCTGCTCGTTCTCACTGGCGATCACACGACAAACAAAGGGAACTTAAACAAAGGATTCTTTCATTGTCGTTGTTATAGATATATAGGCTTAACATTCACACTAGACAAGAGGAAAAATGTTTTTTTCGTAAGAGTTTTATGGCACTTGCAACACAATGTCATATAAATGCCGAAAATTAGAGGTGTTACAAGGGAGTAACAAACTCAAAATAGGAGGGGAGATAAAGATGATAGATGTTAGATAAGAAAGAAGAAGCAAACGCACCAGAGCACCCGCCAACCACCCACTTCAGAGATTATTTCATTGTTGTTGTTATAGATAGAGTATAGGCTTAACATTCACACTAGAAAAGAGGAAGTTTTGTTATAGTAGAGGTTTTACGGCGCTCCAAACTGCATAAGGTCATAAGAGCTCCAAGCGGTGGATGTCAACAGATAAGTCCTTTACAGGGAATCAGACTTACTCTGCTCACCTCTCTAGCTTCAACAGCACAAAGTCTGCTTCAACCGTCAAGGCACCCCGGGAATAGCAGGTCACAAGAGTGTGACAAGCATACAAAAAAAGTAGAGGGAAAATAGTAAGGATGAAGAAAAAAAGCAGCAGTTCCCTGTCGCAGTTCAGGCACAGTTATGAGCATGACATTGATGAATCAGCCCATTTACAATTACAATTCTACTGTGCATAAAAACTCAAGATGTTAATGTCCCCCCCCCCCCCACCCCCCTTTGGGAATGGCTTAAAGACTCTTCAGTCAGTAGCACTGCCTCGGGGGTGAGACAAAAGAAAGAATGGGCATGGGACTAACAAAAAAGAAAAAGAAGAAAACATGAACAAGAAATTTTGTAGAAAGGATCAAAACTGTGTTCTTAAGAAAATGCATTTTAGAAACAGCTGTTTTAATACATTTCAATCCTTAACTCTGCATGAATAATAATGGATATCCAACAAAAAAACAAAACAACCCCCCCCCCAAAAAAAAAAGAAAAAAAAGAACCCAAACATATTGAAAAATAAATAATTGAAGAAAGGATCAGAATTGTACTCTCAAAGAGAGAGAGAGAGAGAGAGAGAGAGAGAGAGAGAGAGAGAGAGAGAGAGAGAGAGAGAGAGAGAGAGAGAGAGAGAGAGAGAGAGAGAGAGAGAGAGAGAGAGAGAGAGAGAGAGAGAGAGAGAGAGAGAGAGAGAGAGAGAGAGAGAGAGAGAGAGAGAGAGAGAGAGAGAGAGAGAGAGAGAGAGAGAGAGAGAGAGAGAGAGAGAGAGGGGAGAGAAAGTGCGAGAGCAAGAGATATATAAATAAAGAGACAGGAAAGGAAAGAGGAGAAAGAATGAGAGAGGGAGGGAAAGAGGTTGGGAAAAGGAGTTAAAAAGAGGAAAAAAAGAGAAAGACAGACACAGGAAGAAAGAGAAAGAAAGAGTGAGAGAGCAAAAAAGGAGAAACAAAGAGAGAAAGACAGAGGAAGAAAGGAAAAAAGAAAGAGAAAAGAAAGGAAGACAAAACCAACAATTTTCAGAGAACTCACTCGTCAGAGTTGATGGACAGAGATGACGGAGCGTAAGTGTCCACACCCTCGTTGTTCCTGGAGCAAAAACAGACCAAAACCATTCAGAACAGACAATCAAAGCATATTTGTGTGTCACAGCATGGTGGAATCAGGCGCTCTATAAAATAATCAAAGTGAAGAAACTTGATTTTTTACACAGGTTTGTGAATTTTTATTAAAAATTTGTTTTTGAGCTCAACACCTTTCATGCCCATTAAAAAACTAATTTCTGAGCGGATTTTTCTGAAAAACGTTGATTAAAAGCACAAAAAATGTAAATTTTCTGTTACCACCGACTCTTAAGCTAAGGAAATAACTAATCTTTTGGCGGCCACTTTCTCACTAATTTTACCTCTGAAAACAGGTAACCCCACCTCCTTCATTCGCAAATATCTCGACTTGTATTCAAGATAAATGAATATTTTTTCATCCAAATAAACACATGTGAACAAGCTATAAGATGATACAGATAACTCTACATGCCCAAAAATAGACAAGAGCCTGATTCCACCACGCTGCCTCACATATGTGTCACAACATGGTGGAATCAAGTGCTCGTCAAAATTATGAAATCAGAGAAAGCAGCATTTTCCCGCCTGTTTGGCAAATTATTTCGAATTTTCTCCTTTTTTGCTCAACACATTTTATGTCCATTTAAAAGAACATCTCCATGTTGATTTTTCTAGAAAACCTGATTAAAGTCTAAAAATATATAAATTTTCAGTTTCCAAAGCCTCTAATACTTTGGATGTCATCAAACTTTGTCGGCCATTTTCTCGCTTATTTTATTTCTGAAACCAGCTGGCCCCACCTACTTCAATTGCAAATATCTCGATTTCTATTCGGGACAGATGGGTATTTTTTCAGCAAAAGCAAGACAAAATAAACAAGCTTTAACATGATATCAATAACTCCACATGTCCAAAAATTGAAGAGAGCCTGATTCCACTGCGTTGTGACACATACGGTACACACACAACAATCAACAGCGTATGCACCAAATCGCTACCTTGGAATCACAAAGTTCTATCAGATATTTTTGGTTGTAAAGTGTATAGAGCATGCTGGAAAGTGTGGATATGCCCTATATAGATGCAATTAATTATCATTATAAATGTAATTAATTTAAGAATTAGTAGTAGTAGTAGTATTTCCATCGCTACCATTATTTCAACTATCTCATTTATTTCTATCACTACCACTATTTCCACTGTCTCAGTTATTTTTCTCTCACTGAAACTGTTTCTAGTTTTGCTTTTATTTCGATAAATGTACAATTACCATCATTCTCACTATGGCGGCTATTTCGACAATCAATAATAATAATGATGATGATAATAATAATAATAAAATAACAATAATAATAATAATAAAGATCACTTCTATAGTGCCCTCTCTGTGGCAGAGGTGCTTCACAATAAAATAATATTTAATCAACATTTCAAGCATACTGGTCCTTTCAACAAACAGCAACTAGTTGCTTACTATGACAGCAACTATTTCTTATACAGCTATTTCTACCATTGCTGCCATTTCTACAGTTCCTCAGCCACTTCGCCAGTAGCAGCCGCTCTCCTATTTCTTCAGCTTCTATCACGAGCGAAGGGATGCACCTACCAATGGCACGTTTTCGCTGTGCCCCAAAAGGGATGGATACACTTACCACTGGCACGTTTTCGCGGTGTCTCGATGGTCGATGCGCGAGCGGTAGTAGCCGACCCAGGTGTGCGTGAGGCCGTCGTGAATGTACTTCCTGTCTTCTGCCACATGCATCACCTTGACCAGGTGCTGAATCGCTGACCTGAGGGAGAGGGAGGGAGGGAGTAAGACGGAAGAAGGGAGGAAGAGAGAGGGGAGAGGAGGGAGGGGGCGGGAAGGAGAGAGAGGGAGGGAGAGAGGAAGAAAGGAAGAAACATAACATAGGTCACGTCTACGGATCACTTCATCAAAATGAGACTGAGACCTTCAGTAGGCAAAAGAAAAATCCTGATTTATTTGGTGTTTGTTTCTGTTTTTTGTTTTCCACATGGCCTACAATGATACCATCTACAATATACGAGAGTCCATTTAGAAAACATAGCAAGTCTGTGGGTATATGTGCATACATATGTGCATACTATGATTTTCTGTGCATGCGCATGTGTGTGTGTGTGTGTGTGTGTGTGTGTGTGTGTGTGTGTGTGTGTGTGTATGTGCATGCACGTGTGTATAAACATGTAGGTTTCCCTGTGTATTAAAAGCTATTTGTGTTTCTGGGTGTGGGTGTATACAAGTGCACATCAAAAACTGTCTGAAGGTGTGTGTTTGAGTACAGAAGTGCATATTAAAAACTAACGAGTGTCTTTGAGTGTAAGTATATGTGTGTGAGTGTGAGCGTGTGTGCGTATAAAATAAAAATATGGCAGCTTGCACTGTATGCTTCCCAGGAACTTGCGATTGTTTCAGAATGCTATCAGGACTGCTGGGGTAATAATATAGACCGTAAAGCGTACAGAGCTTGCTGCTGAGCTAGTAGTTGCACAACACAAATGATACCTATTATTATGCATTTGTGTACACATGTGTGTGTGTGTATGTGTGTGTATGTGTGTGTGTGCATTAACATCAACTGATAAGTCATTGGCGTACTATATTTACACTCTAATGGAGCAATAAATCTTGAGAGATGCAAAAAATTAGAAAGGTTAGATAGATATAGTGATATACAGATTGATTCTCTATTCCGCTTTCGTGGTAGTACACTCCAGAATTTCAAAGGTGTGGAAACAGTGCGCTCGGCTATTGAACGGAAACCTCACTTGTTTACAATGGTGTCTTAGAAGACGGACTTTCCCAAGATTAGATCGAAACGAAACTAATGAAAAACTGAAAAGTAAACTACAGTGACTTCAGCCTCCTTAATAGAACTGTGCACCCTTTAAATGATTCTGAACCTCCATTAATTTTGTCAAATTCGAAAGCTAAGTGGTTCCGAAGTTTTAAGCGGCCAAAGTGACGAACTTTCACAAATATAGTATGTGTAGATATATTTACATACATATACACTCCTCTCTCCGCTTACTCACCACATGGCTTGCACCGACACTGGCTTGAACAGATAGGCCAGCTCATCCATGCACAAACTGAACCCTCTGAAAGCACAATGAGAGAACAAATGACAAAATCATTGCCATCAATTTACCCTCTGAAACACACTACAAGAGATGAGATGACAAAATCATTGCGATCAATTTCTTCTAAACATTTCACTTGTCACTATTTTCCTAAATTGAATGTACAGTATATTTACAAAATTTTCTCGTTTGTGTTTTTAGCAAGCGGTTTACCTGAGGAAACACGAGAGTGGGAACTCAAAAATTTATCAGTCATATTGCCCAAACTATTTTATATCAAGACTATCTTTACACAGAGTACAAATGCCTACAATTTAAGGAATCTGGCTTTGTGGATTTATCCAAAATTGGGCACTTCTGCGTACAGCAAACAACACACAAATCCTCCTGCTTCCCTGTCTTAATTTGCACTATACAAATGCTATTATCTATTATTATCATTTTACTGTCAGTAACACACATACAAGCCTGTTTTGATTATACATTTTCAACAACCAACAACACACACACGGTACCTGCTTCCTGTTTCAATCCCACATTTCAAACAGCCAACAACACACATACGCCTACTCTCCTTCTTGTTTCAACCTCCCTTTCGCAACAGCCAACAGCACACATATGCCTACTCTCCTTCCTATTTCAACCCCACATTTCCCACAGCCAATACAACACACACATAGGCCTACTCTCCTTCTTGTTTCAATTACACATGTCAGCCAACAACACACACACACACACACACACACACCCATCCCCCCTCCTGTTTTAATCACACATTTCCTTCAGCCAACAACACACACCCCCTTCCAGCCTTACACTTCTTCTTGTTTCAACCCCACATTTCCCACAGCCAACACACACATAGGCCTCCCTTCCTGTCTTATTCATAAGTCTTTCACCATCAACAACACACACACAGGCCTACTCTCCTTCTTGTTTCAACCCCACATTTCCCACAGCTAACAACACACATACCCATCTCCCCCCCCCCCCTGTTTTAATCACACCCTCTTCCTGCCTTACACTTCTTCTCGTTTCAATCCCACATTTCCCACAGCCAACACACACACATACCCATCCCCGCCCAGCTGCAGCCGTAGCCCCATCCAGACAGGCATGACAAGCCCGATGTCCGCCTCGGTCCCAGAACAGCCCATGCCCAGCACCACCGCCTCCTCTGTGTCCTGCTTCCCGTTGGTGGAGACCACGGCCAGGTACCGGTGGTAGGTGGGCACCGTGTCCTCCAGTCGCACCGCCTGTTGTGTGACGACAGACATTTCTGTTATGTAACCATGCCGTGTAACGATACACATTTCTGTTATGTAATGATGTCGTGCAACGACACATTTCTGTGATGATATACATTCCTATGTAACGACAGACATTTCTGCGATGTAACGATGTCATGCGATGACAGACATTTCTGTTATGTAACAACAGGCATTTCTGTTATTTAATTATGTTGTGTAACGATATACATTTCTGTTATGTAACGATACATTTCTGTGATGATATACATTCCTGTAATGTAACGATGTCATGTGACGAGACATTTGTTATATAATGATATTCAGTTCTGTTATGTAACGATATACATTCGCTATGCAATGACAGACATTTCTGTTATGTGATGATAGACAGTTCTGTGATGTAATGGTATACATTTGTTGTGTAATTATAGCCATTTCTGAAACGTAATGATGTACATTTCTCTAAATATTTTACGTCCCAATAGACTCAATTTACATTTTTTAAAAATTACTACACTTCGGTCAAATTTTAGTAAACAGAAGCACATCAACAGGATTTCAGTTTTTAGTTTTAGTAGAGGTTTTACGGCGTTCACAACTGCATAAGGTCATATGAGTGCCAGAAGATTAGAGTTGTTACAAGAGAGTAACAAACATAAAAAAGAAGAAGGGGGAGATAAGGATGATTGAGGTTTCATAGGAAAGAAGATGCAGACCACAGCAGAGCACCCGCCTACCACCCACAACATGATGTCACCTACTCAAAACAATTTTAAAATCCCAGAAACAAACAAGCAAACAAACCACCGGACACACAAGTAAACACAAGTGAGCGCCTACAATTTTGATCTTGTCCTCGGGCCGCAGCAGATGTAGCATAGCCTGCAGGTGGCTCTGGAGCTCTCCTGGGGGGAAACAACGAAACATTAAATGTGTGTGTGTGTGTGTGTCTGTGTGTGTGTGTGTGTGTGTGTGTGTGTGTGTGTGTGTGTGTGGGTACTGGAGCTCTCCTGAGGGGAAAACAGCGAAACATTCCCAAAACTATACAAATGAAAGAAAAAGAATGTGTGTGTGTGTGCGTATGCGTGTGCGTGTGTGTGTGCATGTACTGAAGTTCTCTAGGTAAAAAACAACGAAACATCCAAAAACTCTAAAAATGAAAGAAAATGAATGTGTGTGTGTGTATGTTTGAGAGTGTGTGTGCGTGTGCGTGCGAGCACCTGTGTGTGCATGTTCGTCATGCATGTTTATTTTGTGATTGCCAGCGCATTTTTATTTCGGTTGTACCAAAAGATAGGGAAATAGTACCACCAAACAAGATAAAAAGCTAGTTGCATTTTGGCACAACTGTGAGATATGCCCTTTTGCTAGTGCAGTTTAGTTTCATAAGAGTTTTACTGCATTTGCAACACAACAAGGCCATTTAAGTGCCGAAGAATAGATGTGTTACAAGAGAGCAACATACACAAAAACGAAGGAGGGGAGATAAAGACGATAGACGTTTTATAGGAAAGAAGAAGCAAACCACACCAGAGCACCCGCCAACCACCCACTAGTGAAGTAACGATGTGCTCATTACATTGTGACATTAAAATAGTTCAATAACTGACTAGCCAGGTAACGAACAGACATGACATACAGATATAAATACAGTCATACATACAAAAATACATACATACATACATACATACATACATACATACATACATACATACATACATACATATATACAGACAGACAGACATACAGACAGACATGACAGACAAACATACATACACACACACACACATACATACATACAAACACACACACACACACACACACACACACACACACATACATACATACATACAGAAATAGAGATTATCAGACAGACAGATAACCAGACAGACAGACAGACAGACAGAAAGAGAGATAATCACACAGACAGAAAGAGATAATCAGACAGACAGACAAATAGATTACCTCCATGAGTTTTCTTGACAGATTTCTTGTTGCACTCGTTGTGTGGGAGGATGAGCGCCGCCCCCTTCACGGTGAAGTAGCTCTCGCTCAGGCTGGGTGGGGAGAGACATGGTTTTAGTATTAGTTAAGTTTTAGGAAGAATTTTACGGCACTTGCAACACAATAAAGTCATGTAAGTGCCAAAGATAGGTGATACAAGCGAGTAACAAACATAAAAAAAAGGAGGAGAGATCAGGACGATAGATGTTTGATAGGAAAAAAGGTGCAAATTATACCAGAGCACCTGCCAACCACCCACAAAAGACAACGGACAAATACTACATGCGACGATGACTAGTTGCAGTTGACATCCCAGACTACTGCCTCAACGTCTTTTGCTTTAGTAAGAGTTTTACAGCACTTGCTTGCTTGTGTTTTATTTCTTTGAGTAGTAAACAGAAGCACATGGACACAATTATTTAATGGTCATTTAGTGCTGCGAAAAAAAAAGAAGGAAAACAGACAGAAACAACAGCAGAGGGAAAGTAAAGAAGTATGACCTACCGGTGGTGCCCTGCAACTATCCGCACAGCACTTGCAACACATTTACGTCATGTAAGTGTAGACAATTATAGAGGTGTTACAAGAGAGTTTTTAGTTTTAGTAGAGGTTTTACGGTGCTCACAACTGCATAAGGTCATATGAGCGCCAGAAGATTAGAGGTGTTACAAGGGAGTAACAAACATAAAAAAGAAGAAGGGGAGATAGGACGATAGATGTGTGATAGGAAAGAAGGAGCAAACCACACCAGAGCACCTGACAACCACTCACTTACAAGAGAGTAACAAACACATAAAAAAGGAGGAGAGACAAGGATGATAGAGATGTTTGGTAGGAAAGAAGGAGTAAATCCAACCACAACACCCGCTAACCACCCATGCCTCAATGTATAACAGGTGGACGATAACAACAAAACAACAACATATTTGTTTGAGTAAAAGGAAGCACTTCCACACTGTAACAGAGCAGAAGAAAAGTAAGAAAGTAAGATAGACAGACAGAAACAACAGAGGTAAAGAAAAGTAAAACCTACCAGTGACCCCCATAACCCATTCACACAGCCATATTTTTGGCCATGGCCTCTATATATAGGACAATAATAATAATTAATAATAGTAGAAATCAGAAGGAGTAAACCATACCAACCACCTGCAAATACAGGGGCAACATACATGCACACTTGTTCTTTCATAATCTGATACCGAAAGGATGAAATGTCACTGTTCACGGTAAATTGAGGTTTCAGTAGAAGACAACCACACTCTTATTTATAAATTAAATGACCTGGATTGTCATTAGTGTGACTGAATCAAGACAAATTATTATTTCATTTATTTAAATACAGGGTGAACACAACAAGTGAAAATATTTACGTAATTCTAATAAAATCACACTTTGCGTAAAATTTTGGAGTAGTTACTTCTAAGAAGGCATAAACAAAGATAGGTATAAACACTGTCTAAAAATCTTACAGGGATTTATTACCACCATCCACTCAGAAAAAATAAAACATTTAAAAAACTGTGGTAAAGTATACACCTCATCCAAGGAAAGGGTTGTGACATGCAGATAGGCAGTGTGTGGTTTGTTATTTTCTTTTTATAAATAAAGACTTTGTTGGTGAATTTTTCATGAACAAATCAGTCATGACCCCATAATCAGGACTATAGAAACAACAAACGCTCTATCAAAGCATCTTTATGTTAGATCAATTTTTCATCCCATATTAGTACACAATTTTCAGACAAAACGGCAATCTCAATAAAATCATGCTGGACACACCCACAGCAGGGAAAATCTAATTTATTCCGGATTCTTTTGGGGTTCTTTAGAATTCCCTTATCAGACTCGAAAAAGAAATGCTATAGTTAGGGCATATGGCCCTGTGGTTATGTTAGCATTGGGGGGGTGGGGGTAGACGCTTTAGCACTTTATCTCAATTGGTATCATACTGGGCTATAGTGCCAGTGAGACACTGTTTTGAATCTCCAATGGGCCTTCTTGAACTTAAATTGCTTGGGCTAGTGGATGTAAACCCAAAACATACTATGTGTATACAAAAGAAAAAGGAAGTAAAGTCTTGCTTTAAATTTGAGTACAAGGAAGCTCAGTGACGATTAAGCAATGAGCACTTGATGCTTGGAAAGGGCTCGACAGACAGACAGACAGACAAGCAACTGAGGGAAAGAAAAGGAAGAAGACGTATTATATCAGATCCATTCTCCTACCATCCACAAGAAAAGAAAGAAGACGTCTATCAGATCCACTCTCCTACCATCCACAAAAAAAGAAAGAAGACGTATTATATCAGATCCATTCTCCTACCATCCACAAGAAAAGAAAGAAGACGTATTATATCAGATCCACTCTCCTACCATCCACAAGAAAAGAAAGAAGACGTATTATATCAGATCCATTCTCCTACCATCCACAAAAAAAGAAAGAAGACAGAAACAATACAGTAAAGGAGGTATCATGACAAAAAAACACATTTTAACATCATAGCTTTTTATCTTCTTATGAGGTATTTCTCCATTAGGTAGAGAGGTTACTGGTTATTCGTGCAACTGGGGTGCAGGGGGGACATTTTATAACATTGCATTCCCGTTCCCGGAACGACCCATGCAACTGGTGTGTAGCCTTAGTAAGGGGATATTGTATTACAAAAATGCCCCCCCCCCCCTAAACAAATTACATAATTTGGGACATAGGCTGGTTTAATCCTGGCTGCCAGGACCTACCCACGCTGCGACAGGTATAAACACCCGTGGAACAGGTGAGCAAGGGGACATTTTTATTACAAATATGCTCCCCCCCCTCTAACCACCCATGCAACTGGTGTGCAGGGTGACATTTTATTACAAATATGCTCCCCCCTCTAACCACCCATGCAACTCGTGTGCAGGGTGACATTTTACTACAATGCCCCCCCCCCACATCACCAAACGACCGCTGGAACTGGCAAAGGAACAATAATTATAAACTGTCAGAATGAGCCGACATCCAGATTAATGAGAGCACTATACTAAAGCAGACAGTCGGCAGCACGCTCACTTCAGCTGTTGCCTTCTGCCCCATGGTAAGAGCTCAGAGCCGATGCATCATCACTCCATGTCATAGGTTAGAGTTAGAAGCAACATGAACTAACAATATAACTAGGAACAAGTATTATGTTGGGGGGGGG